TCATGGATCCCATCCTCCACCCTGAGCGTGCACAAGGTGCCCGTGGGAGGAAAAAACTGCTTTTTACAGGAGGAATCCTCCATTTGAAGCAGGCTGGCAGTTCTCTGTGAGGTCCTGATTTGTAATCGGATCTTTTCCTACGTGCGCGTCCTCCCAGGTTCATTACCGTGGTCACGCTCGTGTGTGCACGGCCAATGGGCCTTTCACTGTTTGTTTAGGGTCATTTTTTGCTTTCTTCAACCACAAAGCTATTGTCATAGTGATGAGAAATGTAATATTGTGTCTACTCTGTAAGTCGCTTTGGATAAAAGCGTCTGCCAAATGCATAAACATAAACATAAACAAAAGGCCCTTAAACGGATCGTTTTACGGCCTTTCAGGCGGCGGGCGTCGGCTCTCCTTTTATTGGACGATATCGTGTTCAGCTGGTTTATTGTGACCAGTAAAATCTCAGCATGCGGCCCCGCCTCCTCCCAGTTTCCCCAGCAGCTCCGGACCCATTTTACCAGAGTAAAAGTTGTTTTCTTTACGTGTTAAATGTGATAATTGTTGGTTCATCGTTCATTAGGGAGAACGTGCATTTATTGTTGAGCAAACAGGAAAAAAAAGGCTGGGCGCCTCTCTGTGGGTTGCTGTGCTTTTCTGTATTTGCATGGCTGAATATTTTACTGCTGTGGGTTTTATGTTCTACTCATGTTTTCATCCCTCCATCAGAGGGTTTTCAGTCCACTTCTGGTGTCCTTTGGCAGAGCTCAGATTTTCACTTTAAGATGCTCTTCATCTTCTGGAGATAGTTTTTTTTTAGGCCCATATCTTCTTCTTTTCTCCTCCACGTGTCCAGATAATCTTAAAAAATGATTAGATAATGTTACTTGGTTATAGTCAGACTCTTCTAAAAGCTTTTTCCGTCCTAAATTTGGCTCTTTTTAAAGGGCAATGAGCAGCCGGTTTCTAAAGGAAAACCCAACATATTGGGAGCTGCATGTTTGAAGGGAAAGACTCCACCTGTGTGGAGCAGCTTCATGGTGTGAAGCAGGATGGAGCAATGGCTTTATCTCAGGATCTTTTTAAGATGGCATGCTGGTCTCAAAACAGCCACAAAACAGGGACGATCCAGACTGCTTCCCCAAGCCAAAACAACCCCCATATCTCTCAGCTCAGGAACGAAGGCGCCTCACCTTCTGCCAAATCCTAATATCTCCCCAACCTGTTAGGTCTCACGTAAAGGAATAACCCATCTGATCGGAGTCTTTTCAGAAGAGTTTAATTTCTTTTTTCTACCACAAACCCGTGCACAGAAACGCCAAACGAGACGGTTCCCGGTTTCTCACATGGACCCAAACTCTCAGCCATGTGACGTGTTTCTGGGCGTCCCGGTCCCAGATCAGACATCGACCCAATAATCCCTGTTGTGCCGTCAAAGCTTAAAGCGAAAGTGAGCTCCAGATCATTTGTTCGCAAAGCTCCGATAAGTCGCCGCTTATGGCCGACTCGGCTTCTGATGGGGGGGGGGGAGTCGAGGCTTTCCTCCCCCCCTCCAGCTGTGGAGATAAGCCCTAAAGAAAGCTGCTATTACCCACAACAAACGAGTCGGGCCCAGTGGCGGATCTAGACTTTTATCCTTGGTGTAGCAAGGGGGTGGCCAAGTGTATTTTAGGGGGGCAATGGTTTATACTTAAAAATAACAAAGTTTATGCACTAGCGTTAATGTCGCAGCAGAAAACACCAACCGTCTGTAAGCAATCGAGTGCTGTATACCTGTTCATGTCACGTTTAAATGATTATTCACTATCATTTATTTCTACATGGACTTACAGATGTTGGTCCTGTCTTGTGTTCTTCTTTGACATGTCATGAGTAATGACTTAGCCTTTTCCCAAAGAATTTTGTTTGTTAACTAATGTTATGCTTGTTGCACTCGGTGGCTCCACATCCGCTTTAGTTCTTCTTCTTTCACCATAGATTCACGACTGGAAAGGGGCTGCATAGCGCCATCTACTGTACAGGAAGAACATCGCAGTCAAAGACTTCAAACGTCTTTTACGCGGTGCTGTCAATCATCTGGGGTGGCAGTTGGGGTAGCCAAACAGATTTCGGGGGAGTCAATTGCTCCCGTAGCCACCCCTATAGATCCGCCCCTGGTCGGGCCACAGAGACCCCCCACCCCCCCCCCCCCCCTTACTGACTCAGGTCAGATAGTGGAGCACAGAGTCCAAACCAGACACGGTGAAGCAGCGTTTAGCTGCTATGCTGCACACAACTGGAACAAGCTACCAGCAGAACTCACTTTTAAATCCGGGTTAAAAACTTTTTTCTTCTCATGTGCTTATGGCTGAGCTTTTTAAAATGTTTTTTTAATATGTTCTTCCTGCTCAAAGGCCTTTTTAACTCCTTTTGGTTTTGCAAAAGCACTGGAGCTGTAACGAACATATTGCTTTTTCCTTTGTTCCTGCTTTTAACTGTGTTTTAACCTTTTTAAAAAAATTGTTTGTTTGTTTGTTTTGTTTTTTTATGCTGTTTTATGCTGTTCTTTTTTATTTAAAATGTCTTGTCTTAATGTAAAGCACATTGAGTTGCCGCTTGGTATGAATTGCGCTATATAAATAAAAATGCCTTGCCTTGCCTTGCCCCCCCACCCTCTGCCCCCCCGCTGTGAGTCTAAGGGCTGGAGACTCCCTTTTACCTTTATGTTCTATCTGCTCTGAAACCCAGACTGCTCCTTGACTCTGAAATCTGACAAAAAAGAGGAAAAACTGGCTGGGAATGACCCTCCCCCCGTCCTCCCTCTATTCTCCTCTTTTTGGTCAGGTGTTGTAGGGCGTGTCCTCACAGAGAGATGGACGCCTTTTATTCTCTGGTCTGGCACGTTTGAAATACAATACGGACGATGTGGGAAAAGGCGGCAGGGCTTTCCAAAAAGCGGTTAGCAGGGTTCAGTTAGCGCTCATCATGTTTTATAAGAAGAGCACGTTCCCGTTACACCTCTGGTTTCCTTCTAAATTTGGCTTCGGCTGGCTGAAAAGCAGCCAAAAAGTGGACGAACTTCTCCTCCGAAAGGGCAGAAAAAGGCCTCCGTTCACCTCGGTTCAGCCCAGTTTTGGTTTGAAAGTGAGGGAGAGGCAGAAAAAGATCTCCTCTGGGTGTGTGTGTGCCCCCCCCCCCCCCCCGGGGGCCGCTGGTGAGGAAACCCAGTGCTACCACACCCAGACTCAACCATTAGGCAGACCCACCCAAACCAAAGCAGACGGCGTGGTGTTTGCCTTCCCTCTGTAATTCGCTTCTGGAGCGGGGCGTGAGGCGTTTGGGGGTTTCCTGCTGTTTTCCCGGGAACGCCGGAGTGGAAAATCCTGCTCATGCAGGTCTTTAAACGCCCCGGCGGCTCCTCCAGGGGCTCAGAGGGGGCCGCTGGCTTCACCTGAGTCTCTCAGCGGGATCCAGACTCTGTCTGGTTTCTGGAGGCCGTTTCCCCTCCTGCTGGTTCGGTCATCAGGTTTTGTGCTCTGACTCGATTCCGGCTGGTAAAAGAGGCTCTAAGCGTCCCGAAACGCTGCATATTTTCATCCTGATGAACATCAGAACGTTTCCAGTTCTGATTGGGTCTCATTTCATCCTGTTTGTCCTGGTCTGGTCCAGTCTCTCCTGGTCTCTCCTGGTCTGAAATGGTCTGGTATGGTTTGTCCTGGTCCTGGTCTCTCCTGGTTTGGTCTCTCCTTGTCGGACCTGGTCTGGTCTGTCCTGATCTGAAATGGTCTGGTATGGTTTGTCCTGGTCCGGTCTCTCCTGGTCCTGGTCTCTCCTGGTCTAGTCTCTCCTGGTCTGATCTCTCCTGGTCTCTCCTGGTCTAATCTCTCCTGGTCCTGGTCCTGGTCCCTTCCTGGTCTCTCCTGGTCCTGGTCTCTCCTGGTCTTTCCTGGTCATGGTCTCTTCTGGTCTGGTTTCTTCCTGGTCTCTCCTGGTCCTGGTCTCTCCTGGTCTGGTCTCTCCTGGTCCTGGTCTCTCCTGGTC